ACTAGACACAGCTATATGAAGGTATACACCAGAATATATATATATACATATATATATATATATATAAGAATCTTAATATATGGCGAAAAAGGATTCATGGAGCCGACCCCACTTAGTGGGATAAAGGCTTGTTGTTGTTGTTGTTGTTGATGTGTGTCCATATATATATAGTATGTTGTATGTATATATATTATATGATAGTAATCATATTTATATTGCCTTGCAGCACATATATGTAAGTCAAGAAATTACAAAAAAGTTGCATTGTTTTAACATAAGCACTCAAACATTCTCATAAGAATAATGGTATATTTCTCTTAGGAATGGACAACAGTTACAACAAGCGCGGTTATTACCCGAGAAAAATGAAAACCTCAACAACAATGTAAAGCTCCATGTACTTCTAAATAAAAACAGTTCAACCATTGAAAGAGTTAGTAAAAGGTAAAATATTAAAACGGCAAAGAACCTTGCACCATTCCCAAGTTCGTGGATCAAGAGACCACAAATCTGAATGAACAATCCCTTTCTCTGAGCCATTTTTATCAGGAGAAACTTCCTTGGAATAACCTCCATAAAGAAATATCTATCAGTACAATTTCAATTAGAAGTTTCATTATATATATAAGAAAAGCAAAAATCTTTGCACCAGCAAGTCATAATTCCAAATAAAAAAATTTCAGAAATGTAAACTTGGAATACCAATATAAAATATGACCTGCAGAACACTAAATGCACCAGCAACATTAAAAATAATACATTGCATTCCATCATTATTAGATTTCGTTTGCACTCAATGAATTTTATCCATTCACACCAGCAATGAGCAAAGACATGGAATTGCAGCTAGAGGGCAATTTTTGGAGCATTGGGATATTGGATACGTGGAACTCTGTGTATCTACTTCGTTTCAACATATATGTGAATTGTGGATTTACGAGTGCAAAGGAATCATTGTCGAAGCCAACAACATCAACATAATCCGGTTTTTGCAAGACATGATGAAGAAGAATTGGGAACAACTACCACTTTTAGCTCCGTATTTTGCTTTCCTTATTCTTTCAAGCAAGCGCTTTTTGTTCATACACCACATAAATGTAATAGGGCGGCCCATTTTTTGTGCCAAGCTTCCCTTAATGGCTCTTTTTTTTTTGTTGCATGTAGATGAAAATAGTGAGCTCTCTTTCATACTCAAGATAGATCACACTTTTGTATAGGATAGATGCATATATATGCATGGGCTTTTTGTAACCTTTTTGATATACTAATGCAAAATGTAATAATTCAAGAAAAGAAGATTTTAGATATCTATCAATAAACTACAGACATACCTTAAAAAGGTTTGCTATAACCAACTAAAAGCTTCAGCTTTTTTTTTTTTTTTTTTTGAAAAGATCTAGCGCACAAAGGAATAATCAAATAATCGAGAGCTCCACTAGGGCTTCCAATGACAATTTCGGTCGCAATTGATTCGCTGGAAGGAGAGGATCCCATCGCTCCATCGTCTGGCGTCTGCATCTACGTCGACGTCGACATTCGCACTCCTTGTCGCGGCTCGTGTCGCGATATCTCCACTGCTCGCGTCGTCTTCTTCCTCGGTCACCATCGTTCCTCTGCTCGACGTCGATGTTCGCACTCCCTATCGCTACACTGCTCTGCTCGACGTCGCCGTCTTCCACGCCTCTGTTGCTCGCAGCTTTCGTCTGCGCCCGATTCTTCTGTTTCGGCATTGCTCCTGCTTCTGCGCCCGAAAGCTCCTTTGCCTTTCAGCAACCTTTCAGCAGGCAGTTTAACGCCGACAGCCTCTGATGGCGTTTCCTTCTTCTTTGGTTGAGCCGGACAAAATCTCCATTACCCGCGTGGTGGGTAACCCTCAGAAGGAGTCCGCCGTGGTATTCCCCTCAAGTTATAAGAAATGTCGTAAGGATACAGATGAGTGTCCTTTTATTAAGAAGGGAAGTAGGAAATGAGGAAAATAAATAATCTTTTTCTATGAATCAGAAATTTCTACTCTGACAGAAAAATTCAAGTTTGCTCTTATTGACAAGTTGGCAAATTTCAGTGGGGACACCCTCCTATAGATGTTATCAGAAATAGTGTTGATGATCTGAAGCTAGTAGGCAAGTGGAAAGTGAGACTCATGGATAGGAGATGTATTGACCCAACTAATGGTAGCTGAAGACTACACCAGAATTTTCTCCAAGAAATATATTAATATTGAAGGCAAATCAATGAAGTTACTCAAGTGGTCTCCTAATTTTGACACAAAGCATAGAACTCCCACTATACCGGTATGGTTTAATTTAACTGGTCGCAAGCTGTATTTTTTTCACCATCAAGTTATCTAGTCTATTGGGGTCATCCTTGAGGATCCTTTGAAACTAGATCTGTCTACTTTCAACCTAAACAGACCCTCGGTGGCCAGAATACTTATAGAAAGGGATATTACTTTACCTGATATTACTGAAGTTTGATCGGGCACAACCCATAATGGTTATTAGCAACAAATCGTCATGGAATGCAAACCCCCATATTGTACCCACTGTAAGATGTTTGGTCATATCCTTGCTAAATGCCACAAGCTTCATCCTATTTTGAAATCTAAGGTTCATCCTATTTTGAAATCTAAGGTTCAAGTGAATAAGGATAGGTCTAACCTCACTGCTGTGGATATTTTAGTTCTACCTGAGGATGATACTACCATACAGGAGGTGTCTGTTGGCCCTGAGGACCCCCTCATGACACTGTTGTTACTGTTACTGCGAGTGATGTGAAGCCGACACCTACAAACTCCATAAAAAACAATACTGATGAACTATTACCTATAAATGATAGTGTTTAGACTGATAATCAGGAGAGCATCGCAGCTCCACTTCTGTTTCACCTATTCTAGAACCTATTGTGGGTACTACTGTTGGTATTCCTTCTGCTTCAGATCTACCCTATCAGGCTGATTCTTCGGAGAAGGAATGACAGGTTTACACTTTCAAAAGGAAGTAGAAGAATAGAGATCTACTAGAGTACTAAGAGCTCAGAAGTCTTATGGATGATACTTTGGTTACTACGGGTAATGGTCAGCACGTTACCAATCTGCTAGCTGGATCCCTATCGAGAACTAGAGCCAGAGGTAAGACTAGATTGGGATGATTCACACTTTCTTAGTGCCCGAGTGGTTTTTGGGTTTTTTTTATTTCTATATGTACCCATCCTTTACATTTTTTTTTTGGTGTGTTGTACCATGTGGGTTGGGTATTTAGGCCCACCCATACAAACCTATCTGTATCTTTCTCTTTAATATATCAGCCCTTGGGCTTAAAAAAAAAAGGAATAATCAAACAGAAGTCAATCTCACCTGAAAGATCTAGCCCATGGAATGGAATGCTTCATGAAAAGAATACATGTGGTAAGTTACGAGTTGATAAAATATTATCAAAAAGCACTTCATCTAGAAATCTATTTGTAGATAAATATCTGCATACATTAGCACACACAAACCAACATGTAAGTTAGCGGTCCTATAATGGCTTACCAACCTCCTCGAAAAAAAAAAATTTAACAAGAACCAGACAGCAAATTCCCACTACATTGACTTTTTGAATGAAGTTTCATGTTCAAAAGCATCTAAATAATGCCATATCATATTAAAAAAGAAAGGTCAGAGAAATGATTCTCTTTAACCTCTTGTAAATCTATTTCTCTTCCTCATTCATCTCTCATCCAAAAAACATTCAGCATAGAAGAACCATACAGTCCATTTTTATAGTGCACGATCACTATGACTGCTTTCAGAAAATTTGCCCATTTGGTTCTGTAAAAGATGAAGCAAGTGAAAAGCAACTAATATGGATTTTTTTCTCATGAAACTACAGACTTAATTGTTTTGGAAGAATGTTGAGCAATTACTTTTACTCCGAATATTCATCGAGCAGGGAAGAAACAAATATGGAGAAAGCATAAAACAATGGCAGCCTCACCAAGGAAAAATTTAGGTATCACTTTGCAGCTGTTCCAGGGTTAGATAATTTGGAAAAAAACACAGAACCTAATGATCGCTGCTGACACAAGTAAAAAAATAAACTGCAATTTCAAGCACAACCGACCACTTCATTGCCTTCATGACTATCATTATTGCATATTTGAACTCTTATATTTGCAAAAGTTGTTAATATTAGATGCACTTGACAAAGAATGAAAGCAAAGAAGCGGTCATTCATGAAATTTGATAAAAATGACTAGGGGGTCCAAAATCATTTTATCAAGTTAATATTTATATTATGATTTTATCGTAGTTCTCTGAGTTCTTTCCCCAATAATATATAACTAACGACTTATTTTATAATAGCTTTATAATTAAAGCTATTTGAGAAGACAGTGACCAAATGAATAAAGAGAGTGCAAAGAAGCACCACCGGTAAATGTTAAGTTTTGGCCAAACCTTAATATGCAACCAGTCAGGCATGAAAGTTTAGGTTTCTATTCGACTTAACATTTGTAGCATAGCTTAGTTTATCACTAAGCCAAAGAGTTTTTTTCACATCATGTTCAGATTGACCTAAAAAACTAAAGGGGCCAAAATTTGGAGAGCATTTAGGCCATTAGGGTGCTCGGGGGAAGAGTAAGCTAGAAATAAAAATTAGAAGCTGCTGTAATATGTTAACTGCGAAAGAAGGTCCTGCTTGTATCAGTTCTAATACGGAGGGAATATGATTTAACAAATTCTGTGAACATGGAAAGAACTAGTATTGATTCAAACGAGGTATCAGATAAATAAGCAACAATCCACAGGAGGAACTGTTAAATGATTCTATAACTAAAGTTCCAGGTTCCCTTCTTTGACCCGAATCTAATGTCCTAAAAGCCACCTTAACCAATTTTCACAACTAAGGAAAAAAAGCAACTTTAACCAGTTTGTGAAAGAAAAATAAATAAAATATGTACAAAACACTAAGAGGTAAATGCTTCCGAAAGGAAAAAAAATAGAATTTACTATCACAGAGAAGCAATCAGCAAGACAGAGCAAAAAGATAATGCATTGCTATACGAGTTAGAAGTAAACAGTTACAATATCTGGCAAAGAAATACCTATTTCAAGTAATAACATAAATGGATTATCAAATAGGGCTAAACAACTAACAAGTAATAGAAAAACAGAAGAAAAAAAAATTGCTCCACATCAACTTGCCTCGTCTTGGTAAACAAAAAGCTGGAAACCACTCCTGGGGCTGGGCCACAAACATCCAGGTCTCGGTTTTATTTCTTGCCACTGCAAAACGTAATGACTAAATCAGGTATGCATAAACAAGCCAAAAATTGCCTCTCACAACAGCTATTATGGACTACAATATAAAAGATGATAGGTGCAGGAAAATAATCTACATAATGAAGCTACACAATTACTAATTCACCAATCAAATGGTTCCCTCCAAATACTATGAAAGTATCACTGGCCTATCTTCACATAATAACCCTCTGTTGGCTTAAAAAGTTTTTTATTGGTATGACATCATATTTTAATAATGGCAGAAATGGCACTATAACAAGCAATTACACCAATTGCATGAAACTCATTCCTAAAGTTCACTAACACTAAGACATTGGATTCAAGCAATACCTAAAGAGTGAACACAACTATGCTTGCCAACAAATTCAGGAAGATTTTACACTGTTAAAAGCACAATAAAAAAAATACACTTGAACAAGGGGCTTAGGCTATTATTAGAAAAAATAGGAATGACTAGCAGGTAAAATACTGAGTACCTATGTTATTGAGTGCACCTCAATTTTAACTCAGAAAATTAGAGTGGATTTATGAGTGTAAAAATAAAACTAAGGCAGAATAGGATAGTGCTCAAATACAGATATATGAATGCTACAGCCACATGTACCTCTGCAGTGCATCACAATGAACAAAAACAAGGCTTTTCCTTTTATTGGATATCGCATCACTCCCTACAACAGTTCAACTCAATCCATAGCAGTAAAACCACAAACTTGCAGGAAAAATTTTGAAAAGTTAAATTATGAGACAAATTACAATTTTATCCGTACAATCTCCATTGGCCAGCAGCATTTCCCTCTACAGAATGTTTGTCAAGTAATTCCAGGAGAGTACCTTAAATATTACAATCTTTAGGGAATGACATCAAGATGCCACAGGACAAATACATAGGAGACGGTACAAACTAGGATAAATATGGAAGATTCAACTTATTTAAAGCATATAAAATCCTAAGACAAAAATGATTCGACTTCTCATCTTAACCTGATTTATGGAAGGCTTCTAAAGCATTAGCTTCACTGACAAACAAACTAAAACTTGCCCATTAAATTCAAGAGCAAGATTAAAGCTATATTTTACAGGAGCATGTGAAGTGATCAGTTAGTTCTGACAGATGAGACTTCTCTAGAGAAAAGATGAGTCGTGCTTATTAGAATAGTATCATTAGGAGCTCCATGCACCAAGCACGCCCTTTCTTTGGATGGAGTGACATTTAAATTGAAAAAATTAGCATAATTAGCATGTTAAATTTTAGATAACACAATACCCACTGATTTCACCCTCATTTTGCGAGGAATCATAAAATGATTTGAGGTATCTTATAGAAGCACGACTATATGATTTTATTTGAATATTTTGAATTTCACAACATTCTTGAGATTTTAACAAATTTAATATTGATTTAAACCAAAATTAACCTACATTGGGATTAGGAGGCTTTTTCAAAATAGGATCTCCAGTTGAAATTTTCTATCAACATGGCAAACATCAAGGCAATGTGATTGAAGTATTGGCATTTATAATTTGAGAGATTTTCTTTCATAATGAGCCCCTTTAATTGAGATTTTGGTCAACACAATCATCATTCAAGTATTCGAATTACTTCTTTTTATCATTTCAGACATTATCAACTTCGCTTGCCTTCTACAAAGCAAGGGGTCCATAATTGTATATAATTTCAATTCATTTTGAAAATTCATCATGTCATAAACCTCATCAACTCAATCGCGTGTAAACATGATTGGTACTTTGGGTTTAACACAATATGAGAAACCAGAATCAGTATGAAACTAAGGTGAAGTGAAACACAATACAGCCACTGGTAATTTTATAAAAGTCATAAATTGAAAATACAACAAATTGAAAGTAAATAACAATGGGAAATACTAAAGCATAGGATGTAAATGGTGCCAGTTAGGATTTGGACCTTCGGAGTGGGGGCAAGGAGCCGGCTAGCAAGTTGAAAACATTGAAACGGTTGTTTTCATGACTCCAGATAACAAGCAAGCATGACAGTTGTGTAAGAGCTATCTAGGACAACAACAATAAAGAGTTAGCGATAGTAAGAGGGCAAGTAGGTATAGTTGTAGGAAGTTTGTTTTGGGTGGCGGTAGCAAGGAAAACAACAAAGAATATATGAGAGTGATGCCAGAAAGGATGAGGGAAAGGTATATGAAGGATAAAAATCACCTGGAAACCAAGTTACAGCTGGAGCACCACTTGCAACTGAATGATACAACTCGTAGAGAGAAAAGGAGACGTCGGTGGTTGTCCCAGAGCATATCACAGAAAAACTAAATCCAAAGCACAAATAAAAGAAAATATATATTCCTAAATAATTTGGAGTGGGTCCCCTTATAAAAAGAGGCGACACTATTAAGAATAGATGGTCGATTGACCCTCAATAATACTGGACCGAAGTGGCGCAGGTAAAAGAAACCTGTGTCAGTCTCCTATGGTTGGGGGAGTTTCGACCTAATATGTCGAAGCTTCTGACTCATCATGGTATAAAGTCAGGTCGGCGAAGTTGAAGGTAGTAGAAACATTGTAATCTCTTATTAAGTTAATCTTGTAGGCATTGTCATTCAGCTTCTTGATGATCCTGAAAGGTCCATCTGCTCTGAGTTTGATTTTCCCAAAAAATACCATGGAAAATCTCTTTCTTCAATTTGATCCACATTAAATCTCTCTCTTGAACAATCACATTCTTCCTGATTTTATTATCTTGCTCCTGGTACTTGTACTTCTGCTTGGTCATCTCTCTCTAGCTCCTCATAGCCTCTGAATCTTGTGCACTCTAGCCTCAGCATCCACACTAACCTCTGTAGCAAGAAAAAGTGGTACCAACTTAAGTGCTTGAATGGATTGCATCCATACACAATCTCAAAGAGAGTATGTCTTATAGTCCGATTCAAAGACCTATTGTAAGCAAATTCAGCTTGAGTTAGAATCGGATTCAACTACTTGATATTCTTCCCTATAAAGCACCTCAAAAGATTCCCCAAACTCCTATTCACCACCATTGTTTCACCACCTGTCTATGGGTGAATTGCTAAGCTAAATTAAAGTTTAGTATCAAGCATCCCCCATAAAGTCCTCCAAAAATGACTCAGAAACTCTATATCCCTATCAGAAGTAATGATCCTTTGTATCCGATGCCTATCCTCTTGAATTATAAGTCAGCTACATGGGATGCATCCAATGTCCTTTGATAAGGTACAAAATGAGCAATCTTCAAAAACATGTCAACCACTACCATCACTAAATCTTTATTCCTTTATGTCCTAGCAAGACCCACAACAAAATCCATACTAACATCCAACCATGGAGCCTTTGGTATCTGTAATGGAGTGTATAGCCCTGTATTATGCCCCTTAATTTTTTTCAGGTGAAATTCTGCACTGCTTAACATATCTCTTTACATTCCTCGTCGGTCTAGGCCATAAAAAATGTTCCCTCACGAGTGCCAAGGTGTAGTCTCTACCAAAATGATTTGTTAATCCCCCACTGTCACTCTCCTGTATGATAGACTCTCTCAATGAACATTTAAGAGCACACATGTTCTGATGGAAAAGATAGTCATCATATTTGTGGCATTGTCTTGTATGCCTTCCCTGACACTGATCTGAAATCTCCCTGCAGTTTTCATCCGCCTCGTATAGCTCCTTCGCCACCTGGAATCCCACATTCTGGCATGCATGGAGGTGATCAATAAGTGGTGATGGCTCAAGAAATTTGCTACTCGATTATGACTCCCTACCTTGTGTTTGAGCACAAATTGAACGAAGCCAAGAAATCAACCTAGGAGCATCTCTACTTTAGCTTTCCTCTGACTGTTCAAAAACCTCAGAGCCTCATGATCTGTGAATAAGGAAATCTCACTGGTCAATAGGTAGTGACTCCTATCACTGAAAGCTCTCATAATAGCATAGAACTCCTTATCATACATCTAATACTTTCTCCATGAGTGATTCAACTTATCACTGAAGAAGGCTACGGGATGCCCTCCCTGGGTCAATACATTAGAAGCATCACATTCCCCCTCGAACAACTTACTGAAATCCGATAGTATTGACATTGGGACCTGAGTCGCATTATTCTTCAGGATGTCAAAGTTGGACTGAGCGGCCTTTTGTCTACAAAAACTTCTCTCCTATTAAGAGCTTTGTCAGGGGATCTATAATAGTGTTAAAGCTCTTGATTAATCTCCAATAAAAAGATGACAGTCCTAATAAATACCTGATACCAGAGTTAACCACACAGCGATGGAACTAAAATATTTATTGTTGAAATTCAAAGGTTACAACGAAAATTATTCAAAACAAGAGTAAAACAAAACAAAACACATAAACGATCCTCTAGAAATGAAGACGCCATGTCTGGAAGGGACTGAAAGTGGGTGCGACAGTGTTGGAGGGAGTCGGTAGTAACTGCGACTTGCTAGAAGGGGTTGGAAGCAAGAACCGACAGTGCTGGAATGAACCAGATGGAGTTGTGGCAGGGAGCGATAAGAATGGAATGAGCGGGAGGCTGTTGTGATAGCCGGAAAGGTGGAGGTAGGAAGCGACAATGTTTGAGGAAGAAGGAGGTTGTTGCGGTAGCCTGGGAGGCGTTGGAGGCAAGGAGTGGCAATGTTGGACTGAACAAGAGGCTGATGCGACAGCATGGGAGGTGCTGGAGGCAGAAAGCGGCAATGTTGGAGTGAACACAAGGTTGTTGCAACAATCTGGGAGGTGCTTGAGTGGTCGACAATAGTTGGACAGATGTTGGATGGCAGGCGACAACAGAAAAGGGAAGGAACAAGAAGAGATGATTCACCACCTCGGACGAGCTACAACTAGAGCACATTCTCGTCGTCGAATACAACCAATGAAAGGGAGAAACACCTGGAGGAAGCAATCTGAAATCCGAAAATAATCTAGTAGTAAACCCTAAATAAGCAAACAACTTATATATAATAGATGCTAGCATTTAGAATATGAAAA